GAAACTTTCTGCAGTTACTCTCCAGTAAGGGATAAGACCTGACTTACAGATTAATCTCTGCTAATTACCTCTGCAACGACGAACTGGAACCAACCTACATCAGACTTTGCCGGGAGAGCATCACTCAAAAACTGATAAATTTTGATGAAGATCGTAACATCGACCACAACACTCAGCCATATTCAAAAGGGTTGCAACAATTCTTGCAACAACGAGCAATTAATCACTCTACTTGAGTCGATGACTCTACTATAGACAAATCAACAAATAACGAAGACAACCATCTACTACAGCTTAGTTGTACTGGAAGCTAGCAACGAGCTCAAAAACGATCTTCAACACAATGCACTTTTTCGAAGCCGACAGGAGCCACCGTAGGTGTACAACCAACCAAGACAATTGTTTACAATAAGAATCGACTCTTTGAAGACAGCAGCAGCAGCCACTTTAGCAACTACCTCGACAAATACCAAAAACGGGAATCGATTCATCAACGACGACAGCAGCTACCCTAACTCTACTAAGATTTGAGAGCAAGGTTTGTTTATGAACCCCACCCAACCCCAACCCGACTTTTCGTTTTAATTTTGTAACTGCAAAATGAGGCCGGCTGTTAGCCCGAGTTGAGCAGTGCTACATATCGACTAGTTTACTGTGACTTCCAATACCCGATATACAAGCCTCACAAGCAAGGACTTTGCCCATTGGATGAACACAACAATTTGAAGACAACTGAAGTCAAGGTACTGAAGTAACAAAGTGACTTATAGAACTTGAAAACTTGAAAACTGAAACACTATAATAGAAACGCAACTAAACAAATCCAAATACTTACCGTAATCCACTTAATTTAAGTGACGTACAAAGGGAACGACAGCAAAAAAGGGCTCTCATTGCTCTACGCTTTACAGTTTTCCTCCCCGGCCAGGGTGTAATGTTTTGCAACCACATATAACAAAAAAGGATAGGTTTCCCTTGGTACTTGGTTTAAACTCATAATTTTGACCTCTGTGCAAAATTTTATGCAACTCTAACGTGATTCATGTAATTTAAATCCTTTTTATGTAATAATGTTTTATTCATTATTCGTTCGAGGTATCAGAGAAACTTATTAATGTTTATCTCACTACAATTTGTGGTATTTGTTGCTAATATGTCGTGAATTCAAATAAAATTCATTAGTTCACACTCTCTTCTTGCTCTCTGGTTTTGAGGTTTAAAGTATAGCATCAACAAGATTTAGCAAGCCAGTATATCAACTGATATACCAGGAAAAGCAAGCCTTGCTCAAGTTGACAAAGTGCCCTTCAATGAATTGAAACGCAACAAACGACAAAGATACGGATATAAACATCAAGCAAATGAAAGTAGACGCCACAGCCTTACAACAGCAGTTGGAAGAGGTGACAATAAATCTTGTTGACCATCCCACTGCAACAACCAGCAACATCATCGGAACCGTCACATATATTGAAGATCAACTAAACAACAATTTTGACAGCCACCGATAAATGATCGAACGCCTAGCCGTCCCGACAATCACTCAGCAACTAGCAAGCCCGCATCTACAGCAACATCTTCCGGACCAACTACAGCCTTGACGACATCCACTGTTTTCAAACCAGCAAGAACTTTTGCGGCAGCAGCCAGCTCTGCATCAACAACAGCCCTCAGCGTTACACAGCAACGTCAACCAGCAGACGGTACACAATTTCAGACGACAGCAATCAATCCACAGAACAGTTTTAAAATCCCAACCACCTTGTCGACGCAATTCCCAATTCAACCAAAGTATGTTTCACTATCATATCATCATCAGTATCAACAACATCATCAACAGCCTCAATCAGCAGCGACGTTCAGCCAGACTTCCCGGTTACAAAAGATCAGAATGAAAAAGTTTGACGATGACCCATTGAAATGGAGCATGTGATTTGGACTTTTTCAGGCCACAGTGCACAATCAATTGACTTCTGATGCTGAAAAACTGACCAACCTCCAGACTTTGTCCATTAGAAAAACAAATCAATCAATCGATGGACTTGCCTGCAACATAGTGATGTATACAACAGCCCTACAGGAACTTCAGAGAAGGTTTGGACGACCTGACAACATTGTTAAATTTTCATCAGACGACTACAAAGCTTTCGATCGCCATCGACACATCAAAAAGACTCCCACATGGTGTTTTTTGTTTTTTCGTTAGCAACCTAGTTGAAATCTTCCAGACTCTTGATTTTGCAGTTGACCTCAACACGACGATTTATGTACAGTTTGCAGTCAACAAGCTCCATCGCAGTGAACGATTAGAGTGGACCCAGTATCTTGTGAGCAACGATATACAGCAGCCAAATCTTGCCCTGAATAACGACTGGTTACGGAATCTTGCCTTGGCCTGCGAAAAAAGATGTGTCGTCTAACATCAAGAACATTTCACAGAATCATCGAAACTCGATTGAACCAAACCAAAAAAACACTGACAGACAATGAAATTGAAAGGATAATCAACCTTCAACAAACAACAAAGGATTCCAACAGAAAAGCCGCAATGTTTGCGCATTGTGCAACCAAGAACACTACTCTTTCTATTGGTTCAAGTACAAACACTATTCAATTGAGGTAAAATGTTTTTGGACCTTTCGACCTCTCAGACAGTCAACGATTACAACAAACGAAACGGACTCATTCTCACCTGCCGTGCACCTCGAAATGTGTCAAGACCTCTCGACCGATGCCATCCTCAGTGCGCTTTGCAGCTTCTTTGCTCAGTGAGGAACCCCTTGTACGCATGGTTCCGATAACGAGACAGTTTTTTTTACAGCAGCCGAAAAAGAGCTCGCCGAAACCATCGGCTCAACAGTTGTTCATGAACTTTTTGGAAACGCGCAAAATCTTTGAAGTTTTATGAAAGCCAGACCAATCACCACAGTTTCTTCTTCTCCCAACGATTTTGAATTCCTTACGCTAAACCACTTCCTTCTAGGACAAATGTTCGCCAGCATACCAGCCGAGCTATCAACCTCGTCATCGACTATAACGAAACAAAGGAAGTTCGCCCGGCAGCTCTCATGGGAACGCCTTTTCTAAGAATTCGTGCAAACGCTTCTTCCCCGTCAAAAATGGACTTCTGAATCCATAACGATAGCCAATGAAAAACCAGTATGGATAATAGAAGAGTTCACGCCGCAAAATTTATGGCCTCTTAGACGCATTAAATATCCGATCCCATCGCATGACGATCAAGTTAGACAAAAAAAGTACGCAATGGATGTGGTATAATGAAAATTCCCGCAATATGATTTGCCCCTGTTTGCCTATATATTTTTGATCCACCCAAAAGCACCGACTTTAACAGCACTCTAGCCACTCCAACCAAGTAGAAGATTATGGACTTTATCAAATCAAAGAAACCAGAAAAGATTATCGATGTTTTGACCGATCATTTATCCATCAGCCCAAACTGAACGCATCTCAAAAGAAACAATGGGAATCACACCCTCTAATACTTTCAGCAGTTACTCTCCACGAAGATATACGACCTGACTTACAGATTAGTCTCTGCTATTCACCTCTGTAACGACCAGCTGGAACCAACCTGCATCAAACTTTGTCGGGAGAGCATCACTCAAAAAGTTATAAATTTTGATAAAAAATCTTATCATCGACAACAGCACTCAGCCACATTAGAAAGGGTTGCAACATTTCTTGAAACAACGAGCAATTAATCACTCTACTTAGACCAATCAACAAATAATGAAGACAACAATCTACAACAAGAATTGACTCTTCCACAATGACAGTAGCCATCTTAGTTGTACTGGAAGCTAGAAACGAGCTGCTCAAAAGAGATCTTCAACACAAAGCACTTTTTCCAAGCCGACAGGAGCCATCTTAGCTGTACAACCAACCAAGACATTTGTCTACAATAAGAATCGACTTTTTGAGGACAGCAGCAGCAGCCACCTTGGCAACTACCCTGACAACTACCGAAAATGGAAATCGATTCATCAACGACGACAGCAGCCACCTTAATTCTACTACGATTTTAGAACTAGGTTTAGGAGACCCCACCCAACCCCACCCCGACTTTTCATTTTAATTTTGCAATTGCAAAATGAAGCCCGCTGTTAGCCCGATTTGAGCAGTGCCACATATCAATTTGCTTACCGTGACGTTCAATGCCCGATATGCAAGCGTGACAAGCAATGACTTTGCCCTTTGGATGAACACAACAATTTGAAGACAAGTGAAGTCAAGTTACTGAAAGTGAGCAAAATGACTTATAGAACTTGAAAATTTGAAAACTGAAACACTATAATAGAAACGCAACTAAACAATAGAAAAATGATGTGTGAAATGTTACCGTTATCCACACTTCTTAGTTTACAGCTTCCGAAAAAGCTTCAATTTTTTCGATATTTTTTTGTTATACAATTATAGAAGTTGAAATTTATTTTGACATCAATTAAACAAAAAGAATTGATCAATCATGTCAGAAAGCTCTGTGCGTGTTGTAAATTGGGTTTAGGCGTATATAATAAAACTCTCAAGCTGTTGGCGCGCAAGATGCATTGGAATTGGTAAGCTCGTATAGCTTTTACTCTTAAGAAATTCACAAAAAATTTGTAAAACAAAATTGAAAGTTTATTGTAGAAAAATTCCTTACAAATTTTTGATAACATAGCTTGCTATGTAGAGCTTTGTAAATGCATTGTATTTTCAAAAATCCGCGGAACTGACTAGGTTCGTCCCCTTCATACGAAATCAACAAAAAATTGGATTTTTTCAATTTCTGCATATACGACTACTTCTACAACATTCAGTTCGACTGGTTAAGCAACCGGCTAATCATGTATGTATAATGAAAACTTATTCTTGATATTTAAAAAACAACTAATAATGTTGCCAAAAAGGATATTTTTGGCGCTGACGTATTCTCTGGGTCCCTGCAGTGTAATTTAAAAACAAACGCTGCTAATTTCAGGGCAAAACTGTGAATCATCTGACGATCATTTTAATTGGCTCAAATTTCTAAGTGGAAATATTTTGTCTAAATGAAAAAGCGCGTTTTCATTTCCTGGATAAAGTTAACGCTGCATCAAACTTGACATCTAATAAGGTAGTTTCATTTGAAAAAATTGGTCAGTTTAAGTTTCACTTTGAGTTCAGACTAGCAATTGTTTCTTTCCACTTTTTCTTGGTAGCAGCAGTGCAGTATAACAAGTGCATTCCACTTGAGCCACTGTCTATGTGTTGAGAGGTGGCGATGGGAAAGTACTTGAGGAGCAGGAGTTTCGTCAGGTCCATTCCCTTGGGGAAGGAGGCTATCTGCAGTTCACTCATTATGTCCAGTCCATCTGAGCCCTCTATTGAATCAGTCAGGCTAGAACATTTTTCATTTTCATTAATTGGACAGCAACATATCTATTTTATATTATCTGGTTAAATGAAATCTAATAGATGAAGCTGTGAAGCCAGATGAATTTGCTGTGTTAGCTTACTTTGCAGAAACAAAAAGAAACAAGGATAGCCGGTTACTGCTGTGCAAACAGCACAGAATGTTCCGACCACAGTCATAGAAAAATACAAAAACCTTTTTTTTCTTCAAATTAATGTAGTTTTTTTCCGCATGGCGCGATAAAAAGATCTGAACGAACAAAACACTTAGGCATATTTGACAGTCATAGTAAGAAAGCCATTCGGAAAACAGTTAGTAGAGCATGCCTAGAAAAACGAAAAAAAATTGTAAAAATTTTATTTTTCATTTTCTAAATTTTTGCACAATTTTTGAAAACTTTAAACCTTTGTCTACAAAATGGTGCTAGACAACTCCAAGAACAACTTTTATTTGAGTACAACTAAGTTTCCACGGCCTAAATTAAGCTTAAATTAGCTATTGTAAGCCTGCACGCTCACATCAAATTAGTTCGAAATTAGACCAAAAATCATAATTTTCAAAACGGTTTTTCTCGACATTGTGAGAAAATTTTTCATATTTCTTAATGTCGTTCAAATCATGATTGAAAGGGCTTCACTCCACCCATCCCGATAATTATTTGTGGTACCTGATTTTGTGTGGAAATCAAAAAGATAAAAAACTAAAACACACGCGATTACAAAATTCCTCCCCATTTTTCAAGTGGTCAGAACTATGAGGTCATTGAAGCTCCATGTAAAAATTTTTTAAAATTTTTATTTTCAGAAGTTTTATTTTACGGCTAGGTCTGTGTCATTTTAATCTGGCCCGCATTGGAGTTCCATGAATAAAAATCGATTATGATTGAGTTTCCTTGTGAAAGCAAATCGATATTATCAATGAAAATAGGATTATAATATCACTATGTTTCGAGGCAACAAAATCCTTTTTTGTCCATTAAAATTTTTTTCACTTTTGTTGACACTGACAATGAACCTAAATTATAATCAATTTTTTTTCCACTTTACTGAGATGCGAATTTCAACGCATATAAAGTCTTTTCTACGTTTTAAATTAAAGTTGGTTACGTTGGTTACTTGTTGTTCAATTTTTTTTTGTGCCTAACTTCAGGGGCGGATTTAGGGGGGGGGGGGGGGCGGGGGGCGGACGCCTTTCTTCTCACCTCAGGGATTCGACTCCCTGCCGACCCAAAGGGTTTCCCCTTTGATACTTTTTCAGAAATCCATTTTTGGCCGACCGACCCTAAAATTTTTCTAAAGACGCCTTGGGCGCCTATATTTACTAACTTTGAGGGGGAGCGCGCGCCAAAAAAAACGCAATTTTTTGTCAAAATTTTTCAAAAAGTGCCCAAAAACGGCTTTTCTGACTGTTTTTTTAAAAATTTGCCTGGAGCGCAGAAAATTTAGCCAAAATGGGGGCAAAAAAGTGCTTTGGGAGAGCTCGAAAAATCAATTTGGTCTACCTAAAAAAAAAGGTCGTCAAAATTTTCGAATTTTTCTTGAAAATCCGCCCCCCCCCTCGAGAAAATCCTAGATCCGCCCCTGCCTAACTTTGATATTTTTGTTACTTTTTTATGTTACTCAAAAACTGATTTTTGTTCCTTTTAACAATTTTGTTAAATTATTAGAAACATCTGGGGGGGGAGTAAAATTGGAGGTGGACTAATCACCTTCCATTAACCCCACTCTAGAGTTTGCCCATTTGCAATAAACCCCCTCCCCCCCCCCCCCCCCCAACGTAACGTTTGGTTCACAGTTTGGGAGTGGGAGGTTCAAGTGGGGTGGAGGGGTTTGGTTTAGATGACGGCGGTGGTGGTGGTGGTGGTTCCGGTGGGGGTGGTGTTTCAGGTTGGGGGATTTGGTTCAGTTGGGGGATGTCTCAGGTGATCAAGTCGGGGTGGGTTCAGGGGAAGGGGGTGAGTTCAAGTGGGGAAGGGGTGGGTACAAGTGGGGGAGAAGTGGTAGATCCGGTTGGGGGGTTGGGCGTGGGGGATATCTCAGGTGATCAAGTGGGGGTGAGTTCAGGAGACGGGAGTGTTCGGGTGTAGGGGTGTGTTCAGCTGAGAGGTATTCAGGTGGGGGGGGGGGGGGTTCATAGGGGGATTGAAGGGTAGCAAAGGGGCAAACGTTAGGGGGGGAGAACTTAACGGAATCCTTCTGCAAGTTGAGTTTAGGTTTAGAAATAGATTAGGCAGGCCTTACACTTGCTTTGCAAAATTTCCGCTTAACTCACTTGATAAATGCAGAAATTCTTGAAAAGTTTTGCACGACGCGCAAAACAAAAATAAAGTGGAACAAGACTGCTCGTATCAGGGCGAAGCCCTGAATGTTCCTACTGCCTTTTAAGGTTTATGTAGCAGCAGTAATAGCATAAAAAATAGCATAAATGAAATAAAATAAAATGAAATGTTTTTTTTTTAAGTTTGAAATTTTTTATGAAAATCATCCCCCCACACGCCATATAAAGTACAAAAAGAGAGATTTAATTCCTTGTAACAAATCAATTATGGCAAATAAGCTTCGTTCAACCAATTTGGAACGATTTATAAGACGGATTAAATCTCCGCTTACGCGTTAATAGCTCGAATTATATCGCGTATTAATTGTCCCAAATTGCTCAAAATGACCAAAATGGCAATATTTAAACCCTCATAACTCTACGAAAAATGATCACAGGTGAAATATCTTTTCAAGTTTAAGCTCAGGACAACAATATCTTTTGAATGATATAAAAAAATTCCGTCAAAAATGGCTAGTTAAAAAGTCGAAATTCGTCTGAAGAAAAAAAAACCACCCCGAGCACAAATATTCCGTTACTTTCGTACCGAAAGTCGGAACAAAAATCCATTTTAATATGGTTTCCTACTAATTATAGATATCATTATAATGGATTCCAATTGCATTATAACGCATTTTGTTTTGGCGAGAACAAATGGGTTTAATTCCATTTTTAGTCCAATTTTGTTGTCTGAACGTAATTTTAGTCCAAATTTGTTGTCCGAACGTAACATGGGAATCGATTATATTAACAACACTTTAGACCACGAAAATCCATTATAATCGATTTGTTTTCACTTTTCTTAAATGCGGGGGACTAACTCAAACGCTTTTACTCCGCAGAAAACAACCAATTCAGAAGCAGGAGTGAATCTAGAATTTTCTCGAGGGGTTGGGCGGACTTTCAAAAAAATGCGCAAACTTTGATGACCTTTTTTTGCCAACCAAAAAAGGAACCGACAAACTTATGCAGTAAGTTACAGAAAAACTACTGGGTTCTGATTGGCTGAGAAAGATTTGGGTAATCAATTTGATGCCTTGAGAGCTTCAAGTTCCAACCTGATGAAGTGATGTATGTGGCCGTTTTCTCCCGCCTTCGTGATCAGAAGATATGAGCCCCAGCAGAACAGAGACAACTTCTCACCTGAAAAAAAGAGCAAAAAATAGATGTTTTTTTTTGCAATCGGCCACTTATGGTTGCTAACGATGCATATTTTTGGAAAGCAAAAAATGGTCTCAGGATTATCTCTCAGGCTAATGAATAATCCTTCAATGATTGTAAATGCAATGTATAAAAAATCATTAATGCCCAATAAGCCTGAAAAAAACTGATTGTTTTTTATTATAACGGCTTCATGTGCTTTAAAATGCGCCTGAATCTCAGGCAACGTTTATCAATCCGAGTCGGCCTCGAACCGTCTGTCTCTATATTGAGAGGACAAAAGTGTGTTTTTGAAATGAAATGTGAAGAAACAAGTGGTGTGTTTGCATGAGACTTGAACGTATAGAATACTGTGTTTGAAGTTGATGGCGCCCTTTTTGCTGCGACTGAAGGAGACCTCTTTGCCGTACATGTGTATGTTGACGCCCTTCTTCGCCTCGGAGAGGATGGCGTCCACCTCCTCCCTCTTCTCACTGGGCACGTCCCGCAGTCCCGCCAACACACTCGTCAGTTCAAACAGGAACTCCATCTGAGAAGACCATGCAAAAACAGGGCAAGTAAAGCAGGGGTATATGTAATAGACATAGAGGCATGTTGTGGAAAACTGCTGAGAAATTAGGCTAAATAAACTCGCTAACTGATCTCATCAGGTTAGATAAATTCACTTCTCCAATGGTAACCTTCTCATTTGAAAAGAAAAAATTCTACTATTTAAAGTTCTGCATCATTGGCGAGAAAAAAAATGTTTTTATAGATATTCTCCAAGCTTCAAATTTTGATGCATATAAGAAACGTTTTAGAAAATGTCACTTAAATTATACTAGCTCTGAATTATATTAGACGGAATTTCCAATCCTTTAAGTATGAATCATGAATAATGAACACTATTGATGTAAGAATATGTCACAGTAAACAAAAAAAAACACGTTTTATGTACTTTTGCATTTTGTGTTTGCAGTTTTTTGAATTTTTGAAGTTTTTGATTCAAAAAAGGCGCTAAAAAACTTTTAAAAAACTAACTTCACTCGGCTAAAATTTTGAGGCTTAAATTAGGGTATTACAAGCTTTTAAGCTGTTATTATAAGCTATTGTAAGATTTCTCTCTCGCTTTACTCGCTCGAAAAATCATTTCAAACCGGTTTTTCTCGACAACGGCATATTTTTCCGGTAAATCTTAAAAGTAGTTCGAATCATGACTGAAAAGGTTTTAATATGATATATCACTCAACTCACTCCGATGATTGTTTTGTGGTAGCTGATTTTGCGTGGAAAACAAAAAAAGAGAAAAAAATAACGAAAACACCCGAATCGAAATTTCCTCCCCATTTACCACATGATCAGAACAAAAAAAATTAACTTGTAGTTTTTGTTATTCTTTCTTTTTTTGGTAATTGGTTTCTGCAAAAAAAAACGACTGTAAATAGGCAATATAGTGCTAATTGCACATCAACCGGCTAGTCATAACTTATACAATCAATGCTATTTATACCAAATTGGTTTCACTGTTGATCATCTCGGCGAAGGACCTGGCCTCCTTGTGTGCCTCCTTGGCCCCTGGATATCGAGGATCACTCTCGTCTAGTCTTTTCACAATGGCCTCCATTAAGAGCGAATACCTAGTGGCATGTTGAACAGGTTTCAACAAAAACGCATCCAGAGTCAACCCACCAGTGCATGAGTCATAATTTAGAGCATCAAGAGCGGCCGTAAATTCTGGATCTTTGCGACAATTTTCCAACTCTTGCTCCTGATGATGTTTCATAACAGAATACCTTTTGAATGGTTTCAACATAATTGTGGTCATAATTTTCACCAAAATATCAAAATACGGCTGCACCAAAACTTTGTCTGCTTGTTTTTCGTCGAACTCTCCCAATAGCTTGTCACTGATTTCTAAGAATTTGTCTGCGCTCTTGAATACCATGTTGATAGGTTGAGTTAAATGAGGGTGTGTTTCGGGCGTGAACTTTTTGATGAGATTGTGATAGAAGTGATTGACAACTATGTCCATGGACTTGTAGAACATCTGTTCATTTGAGATGACTTCGTACATGGCTTCTTGCATCTTCCGTTCCTTTTCTGAAATGTTCTCTAGGATGCCGCTCTTTTTCACGTGTTGCTGTCCCGCCCAAGAGGGTTTTTCAAGACAAACTAGCTGTGGCCTTAGAACATGCTCTAAAAAGAAGTAAAAAAAATGACTTTTCCAAACTTTTTATTTTTGTGTGTCTGAGTGTTTTGAAGACTTCAATTTAAGAAAACAGATTCGAGCTAAGCGATCAAATATACGAAGCAAGCAACGACCCATATTTTTGGATAATATAAGATCCTTGAAAAAATCATTATTTTCAAAAGTTTTTTTTTTTCACCCGAATCATTAAATCATTCGGTTAACCTTAGATTGAACACAGAGGCGAAACTGCGCTTCGCAAACACAAGCCAGGAAAATGCTAGAGAAGGTCTGAACATTAGGAGTATCACGCTTGAAATTTTACTAACACTAGCAACCAATAGAGCAGCAAAAACCTTAGTATTCTATAAACAGCTTAAATCAGAGATTAGCTGGTTATTTGACGGAGAAAACTAATACTCGCTCTTTCAATTTAAATTTTTATCTCAGGTTTGGCTTGATATCTTTCCAAAAGTAGGAAAATATTCCAAAAAATTATCAAAAAACTTAAAACTCAACTTTTTCCAAATCCATAAAATTTTTTCTGCTAAAGCACTGGGATAGCCTTTTATGCAGGGAAATTTCTACGCCTTAATTTCCACGCCTCAAGTCCATATTGCCTTCTCTACAAAGTACAGGGTGAACCAGGCTACGCAGGTTTTGCTTAAGCTTAAAATTTTTCAAGTTAGTTTGAATGAATTATCAACCTTTCGAATCGGCACGTTAATTTTCAGAAAAGAAAAAAGAAGTTTCCAAAAAAGCGGAAAAAATTTCAGCAATTCGAGATTTTCTAGAGCCTTGTTATTTCAAAACGCAGGGCAGAGACGCTTGCCCATGGGAAGAATCACATAATTGGATTGTTGCTTTCGGTTAAACCCTAAATCTCTCATTTGACAGGATGGTTTTTGAGAAAAGTTTTGAAAATTAACCAAAATATCAAAAAAAGAGCTTGTTTGAGGCCATAACTTTTTTGTTTTGAGTTTAGGGAGAAACTGGTTGAAAATGTGATTTGGATCCCCGTGATTTTTTTAATTGAAATCTTCATCTGGAATATTTGCATTTAAAAATTGAAAAAATGAAACGATTCATATCAAAAGGATCAAAAATTTGAAGTCCGTAGAACGTGGGTTAAAAAAAAGAGACTAGCAAAATCTGCTGGCACATAGAAGAGCAGTTTCATAATAATTTTTTTCTAACGGAAAATTAAACTAGCCAAAAAGAAAACAACACCATATGCCATATGCTATTCAATTACCTATGCTTAAATAGGCAAAAATATGATTAAATTGAAATATACCAAAAGTTCCACCATATGAGCACTTTTATTTGCGACTTAGTTTAGAAAAAAAATCTTCGTAATAACACACTAATCTTTGCATGCGTAACACTACAGGTATTTTTGTACCATACCATCTTTATATCTTTTAAACTGCAAAATAGTTCATGGTATTGGTTGGAACAACAATGCACTGATATGTATGCACAAACTAGTTTTGTTTGACCTTGAGGAGCGTCTGTGTGTTTGGCTTCGGGTAATACATTGATGGTCAGTATCTGTGGGTCCTGGGGTAGTTCAATCGCATTCGGCTCTGCAGTCCCGTCCGAGTCGTGTTCGGTTATCTTGTTCGAATTCTCCACTGACAGACTCTCTCGTCTACCTGGATTGAAAATTGAAAAGTAGCCAAAAAATTGACTCATCGAAAAAAATTCAAGCTTCAAAAAAAAACATTCAAAATTGATCCCATCGAAAATAAAAAAGATATTTCTAATAACAAATTTGAAAAAAAAAACTGAAATCTTATTTTTTATTTTTTCATCTTTTTTCGACTTTTGTTTTTCAGATGATTTTAATTGAATTCTTACTTTGGAAAAGTTTTTTCTGACTTAAAGTTTTTTTGTCTTTTCACTTATTTTAAGCTGATTCATAACCAAATGTTGCTAACTCTGTAAGAAAAATGAGTCTTTTAAGTTATTCTCTCAGAATTTTTTTAATGAATTATGTGAAAAAGAAAGATGAAAAAGAATTTTTGCTACAAAATTGCTTCGATTTTGCTAAGATATGTAGAACTGATATCCCGTCCGTTGAATTACTTTGAAAGTTTTAATAAACTGACATGGTAAAAACGAAAAGACCCCAGAAAATTTAAGAGCTCCTTCATTTTTTTGCACTTTTTACAGTTGGCGAAATTTGGCGAGATACTTGCTTAGCAACCGTATAGACTACTTGGAATTCTTCACTTCTGTTTTTCTGTTATTTTGACCCAAATAGCTTCTATTGAGGCTTCTACGCCTACGTGTAATCAGACTTCTCATTTTTTTCTAGTTTTTATTTTCAATGAACTATAGATTCACGAAATTTCTACTCACTGATATATTTGGCCGCATTGAGTTTGGGAATGTCGACGTAGAAACTGCAGGTTTCTAGAATTGTCTTCCTCCTCGCCTCCGACTGGCCCTGGAAAGCGGAGATCAAATCGGCCACCGAGCGGGTCTCGTTCGAGTCCTCCTCCTGATAGGGGTCCGGCAGCCGCATTGGGGAACGGGGGCGCCTCACACTTTCTTTGACTAGAAAAGAACTACAGATAATAATTTATGTCATCAGATTCAAATACTACAGGTGATAACTCCTTGATTAAGGAATTAATTTTAAAGGTAATAAACTGCTTGATTAAGGCTTTTATTTCCGTCCTGTTTATCCACGACAGAAAGGACCAACATACGAGCTGTACAGCCCATCACGGCGAACCGCTGTTGTGCCCCTGCTTAAGGACTACATGGAATTATCTTAGTTATTTTTTCGGGCTGGGTAATGTTGCTTCACCCCCAAGCAACGCGCATGGATCATGGTGGGCCTCGAACGTCCGACCTTTCCATTGAGAGGCTGAGAAGTATCCACTTCACCGCCACTCCCCTCACTTAATGAATCGTATTACTAGATTCGCTCTGATTTTATAACTTCCATGAGTTCTCGGTTAGACCTGAATACTTCTCGCCGAATGGACTAGGCAGTCTTTTCAAAAAATGGATAGAAAAAAAACTAGAGAACAGGATTACCGGCTTTACCTGGGTTGACCTCCATAGACCAAAAATGCTAATCATACAAATCCATAAACTAAGTCTACAAAAATACTAGTCAAAAATTTTGCTAAAATGGTGTCAACGAAATTTTGAAGAAATTTCTTCTTGTTTTGGCATAAAAATCGGTATATCGTAACAAATAAAAAAAACTTTTTGTCAAAACAATAATGCTAACCATACAGTTTCCATAAATGGAAATTGTATGACTAGCATTTTTTTTGATGGCAAAACAAAAAGTTTTCCAAGTAAATTTGAAATTGCCCCAAAAAAAATTCGTGTTTTTTTTTCAACCACAAATCGAATTTTGTATTCAAACAAACTTTTTTCAAATAAAAATTATTTGCATGCGAATTTTATTTTTGTGAGCATAACCTAGTCCTGGATACACTAATATTAGAGTTTTTCCTTTTCGCCTATTAGTTTTTTTCAAAAACGCTGAAAGCTCCTATTTCTTTGTATGGCATGTTTATGTATGCCTTGATCAATGTCTAATAAGCTAACAATTCAAATTTTAAAAACAGTCATTGTTGTAAGTTTTTTCCAAAATTTAAAAGTTTTCTAATTTTGATATATTGCTTGTGAAAGACAAATTTAAGAGCTTTCAGGCCGTTTTCAATGCATAAATTGGTCAAACCTCTGGCTACTCAACGTTTGCGTAACCAAAGTTATTATCACCTGTGTTTCGTTACGAACACAACCCAAAACTTTTGGGAAATTAAAATTTAAAAAAATCAGTATTTTTGGTTTATGGAAAAATGCGATTACTAATCATAGACATGTCATGAAATTTTCTGTATTTATGGAATTGCATGAAAAGTGTATGATTAGCATTTTTCCATATGTGAAAATTGTATGAGTAGCAAATTTTATGGTCAACGAGCTGGACCCACTTGACTCTCTCATGGTTAAATCCTTTTGTAACCATTTCTTCGTTGTATACTCTAGTAATCATATGATCGCGTTACCTTTCTTATCTACTGTTTTAACATGAATAATACATTTTTAATTAAAAATGATAGCGCTATATTAAAGTTTTTCAATATAAAACGCCTTTATTTTGACATTATTTTCATTTACGTTTTTTGATTTGAATTGATGTCATAAATTTTTTCTTTTTTTGGGAGTTGTGGGACAACGCTCAACAATCCTCTTGTTAACTCAGCTTTCTGGCTGTTTCATGATGAGCTTAACTATATATTTTAACTCGGGTCTGTTTCAATTTGTTGTTCTTCTTTTTGCTTTCCACGCAAAATTGGGTACCACAAATAATCATCGGACAGGGTTGGCTGAAATATCAAATAAAAGCTTTTTTATTCGTGATTCGAACCACATTGAAAAAAAAGTCGAAAACTTTTCCCAGCGTCGAGAAAATTCGGTTCGAATCAATTTTTCGTCTAATTTCAAGCAAGCAAAGCGAGCGAGCAGGCTCCTTTATGCCTAATTTAAGCCGTTTTCAATAGCTAAGATATGCTTAGTTTTTGTTTTACTCAAGTAAACTTAGTTTTTGGAGTTTTTAACGCCATTTTGAGAATCAAAAATCAAAACTTTTGGTAAAATAAGTGTTTTTATTTTTTTTATTTTGTTTTGTTTTTCTTGTCATTATTCTTCAAAAAGTGTTGCCCAATTAGCCTATCTTACTATATCTGCCGAACTGCCTAATTTTTTTGTTTACATCTTTTTTTTCACACCATTCTAAAACGACACTAATAAAAAATATATATATATTTTTTGTGCGTGTCTTTTTTAAGACTGTGGTCGGAATATTCTGTGGGATTCAACCCCCTGTGGGATTCAACCCCCTGTGGGATTCGACCACCTGTGGGATTCGACCCCCTGCCAACCCAAAGGGTCCCCCTTTGATACTTTTTAAGAAATCCATTTTGGCCGACCGACCCTAAAACTTTTCTAAATGCGCCTTCGCCGCCAATATATACTAATTTTGAGTGGGGACCGCGCGCCGAAAAAAACGCAATTTTTCGGTCAAAAGTTTTCAAAAAGTGCCTAAAAACGCCTTTTTTGGCCTGTTTTTTTTTAAATTTTGCGTGCTGCGCAAAAAATTTGGCCAAAATTGGGACAAGAACCGTGCTTTGGGAGAGCTCGAAAAATCAATTTGGTCGACCTAAAAAAATGTCAAAATTTTCGAAAATTTTTTGAAAATCCGCCCCCCCCCCCTCGAGAAAATCCTATATCGGCCCCTGAAAACTACGCCATTACTTGAACCCCTTGATTACAATAACTTAGGCTTGATGAAAAAGGATCTGTTGGTTGAAGTGGTAAAAAGTATCAAAAGGGACCATTTTGACAGTAGAGGAGCCAAACTCGTGAAGATGATTTGCGTCAAGGACTTGAAAAATGTAAAAAACTATACTTTGTTGCGACAGAATTTGACTGTTTTCGGATCGCTTCCGAAGTGAGGATGAGAAAAATTGTCCCCAGTCTTCATCTTTTCTGTCTATCCTATTTTTATTGTTCGTAGCACCACGTTCGATATTCATAGAAGCAGGAGCACTTTTTCGCTTCGATTCCGACTGAGGTGTATATTGACGTGAGCTCCTGTCTGTTGTTGATGAGCTCTGCTGGTAATATTGTTGTTCAAACCTGAGCGACAGTTTTTTCACGCTCTTTCTCGTCACAACTTCATCCATATTAATGATAAGAACTTAGAGAAAAGAAAAAACGGTAGTATGTAACATATGAATTCTTGAGTGTAGCATATAGTTTTTGATCAAACATTTGCGTCTACTTGTTTGGAGCATCAACATTGCATGAGCAACTTCTCAGCAACATCATTAGTAGTAAAAAGTAAGTTTGCTTGCCCGAAAAGTTGAAGTTTTGAGATAATACTTGAAAACTAACTACTTTCAAAAGAAATATTATTGAAAATTCAAGAAACCAAACTAGACTTTAGGTTTGATCTGTATAAAATAAAAACGCTATAACCAATCTGATCCCGATACTAAAATATTGGTGACAAAAAATAACTAGAATAGGGTTTTAGCATAAGAACTTTTATCTATCAGAGCACATCATTTCGAAAACATCATTTTGCAAACTAACTCTTGGATAGCTCTTGAAATGCGATAAATGAAAAGCCTTACTGAAGTCTCTTTCTACCAATAATGTCACTTCAAAATTTTAATCACCCAACGTAGTTTGGATGGGCCAAACTCAAAAGTGAGGCACACGCATCCGAAACTTGACTTTGGCAATTTGATAGAAAGAGAGATTATTGAGCCAGATAGAGACATGGATCAAGAAATAACCAGATAAGGTGCATATGAACACGTCAGGCGGTTCTGTTTATCGTCTCAAGGCTTAAGCAGAAATGTTTTCACCAGAACAAAAAACTTTTTTTTGTAAATTAAGTTTAAGGTAGGTAGCAGAAGCTATTAAAGAAGAATTTGAGGCCCTTAAACTAATCGTTTTTGCAAGTTTTTAAGGTGCGGCAATCTCGTGTCTGGACAATTGTGTCCAAGACATTTATGTCCTGGACAAAAATGTCCGAAAGTCAAAAAGTATCTACGACATTTGGCTGCTCCAAAATTCTCCAGTTAATTGTCAACCTAGATAACAACAAAGATTAATTTGATAAGGCCGCACAACTGTGCAATAAGACCAGAATTATTTTTAGTAGCTTATTAGAGACTCAAAAAAAGAGGACTCAATTCATTTAGACATTACTAAGCAATTCTAGTATCATTATCACTGATTCTAGTATCAGTGATATAGCTCTTGAGTCCGTGTTCAACAATGGAAATCTTTATGACAAGACGTCTCCATTTCGTGGTACTGTGTTTTATCGAAATTTAACGGCCGCGTGCGCACTTTACAAGACAAGGTCACCTTTATAAATGATCATAGTCTTTTCCGAGATCCAGTTGACATTGAAAAGCAAAAATTCGGAACAACTGTTAAAACTAAAGTAGTTGTAGTAGATGAGTCACCTGGACAAACAATTTTTTCCACCATTCAGAGGGACATTATAAGAGAAACTGCTGCAGTTATTCAAAACTAATCAGTCAGTCATAGAACCGTCAGCAGAGTCAAGCAGGAAGGACGGCCCAGAATACAGGAATTAAATTCATTGATTGGTTTTGAACTAACAGAATTGTTTCCTTCACTTCGACTCTGGACCAGATGATACTAAGCAAATAATGGTTTTCAACTACTCTGGGACTGGATCTTCTTAGTGGTGCGGATGATTGGTTCTGCGATGCCTTTTTTCGGCCCCGAAAATCTTGTTTCAGTTATACTTAATACACTCATTAATTTGAAAAATTTCTGGTCCTTATTGTGTATGATTTGCTACCAGATAAAAAAGAGACTTTTATTCAAATTTCGAACTGTTTTGAAAGAAAATTTCTCAAAAGAGCAACCAATGATTTCGTAGTAGCGGTCAAAAAACCATTTACATCCCAATCACAAGCGTGCCAAAGCTTCTGGCGCCATGTTCAGTCTACTGGAAACGCAAACCATGCTTGATCTGGAGTTTCGTGCATCTCCGATGTCTACTAAGTAGTTAATCTATCAATGGAAAAGAAGATAAGTTTTGTATCCAACTTGAACCAATTAATCGTCTTCTCTCAATTACACGAGTAGGAAAAGATTTTATTTGGAAAAAAGGTGCAATTTTTTCATTACCTAATTTGAAAGCCGAGAATGAAAGTTTCGTTGCAGGCCACTGTAAGAAAAAAAAAGATGGACAAAAAGAAGGAGGGCTACAATAGCAGAACGCATAGTATCTTTTTACCTAATGCAAAGTAAACATGATATAACAAATGTTTTGAATAACATTATAAGCAAGTGTCAAAAACTCATTCATGCATTTCATATCATATATGCCGAGTGTAAGTTGAATAGAAAAAGATAGCCACTGCTTGCCAATGCCAGGTTTTAAAAACCATTTCTACGTTTGGGATTTGTCGTTCTTCCTAAATTTTGAAATATGTTCTTTGCTGCGACAATTTATGTTGCGAGTTGTCGCGGTTCCCATAGTGACTTGGTATTTGTAACTGTAACTCGAGTAATCAACGCCTTTTTCTAAATGCTCATGTAGCAGATAGCAAACTTGAAATGAAACGCCGATAGGAAACCTGATGAAACCCTGGTTGAGGTGTTCGAATTATGTTCGGTAGGATTGAACAAAAATGGCTATTTTTCGAACGCCTCGACTAAAATTGGTCATTTTTCGACCAAACTGACCCAAACAGGCTACGTTTTGACAGATTCAACTGAAGAAAAAATGTATTCAACTGGGTTCAGCACAAGTGTCCGATGTTTTGACCAGCTTGACCGAAAGATTGTACGACAGTTTTTACAGAGGCCTGCTATGTTTCGAGCGAATCAATCAAGCAACCAGGGGCCGATTTGGCGGGGGGAGAGGGGTTGTTGGGTGCGGACGCTCTTCGTTCAGGGATTTGACCCTCTGCCGACCCAAAGGGTCCCCACTGTGTACTATTTTGAGATGTCCATTTTTGGCTGACTGATTTTTCCGAAGGCGCCTTTGGCGCCAATCTGTACTAAATATGAGGGGGATCGATGAGAGGAAAATTTGTCAAGAAGTTGAAAATCAATTTGGTCGACCTAAAAAATCGACAAACTTTTCAAAACTTTTTTGAAAACCCACCGCCCCCTCGAGAAAATCTTAGATTCGCGCCTGATTATAATAATAATAATAAACTGTTTCCAATCATTCTACCATTAGCTGTCGATAGAATTTGCTGAAAAGCGGGAAATATTTTTTCTAAATTACGAATCAATAAAAAAAAATTATGATATCATGTTCTGCTACTAATTAAAATTCTTTTCTGAATCGTTGGGTAATTTTTTGGCTAGAATTTTTTTTAAAATCAGACACTGTGCTCCTTAAATTCAACCATGTCTTCCTTAAAAAGGCTTGTTACCGCCACGGATTTTTGGTTGAGAAAATTCTTGTGTTCGACCAAATTCGTTCGAAAAACAAATCGAACACCTCAGCCCTAGCAAAGAGGTTGTCGAACTTGAGAATAATTTATTTATTTTTAAGGTACTTCATGGAAGTATATACAATAATGGTAATAACTATATTATGGTGGTGACCAAATTAAATGACTCACATTTGACACTTGGATACACCTGCCTGATTGGACCCGACTTCAATTTTTCGCCCTCTGCAGTAGAACTAAGTTCTGTCATTTTCACATCCAAAGCATCGGAACCATTGGTCAAATCATCTCTTGAAGAACGAGGTACACACATGGCGTAAAACGTAGAGGAGCCGAATTTACTCAGAGTCGGACTCATAACAGCTTGTGCTGCCGACTTATCCGAAACTGTCAAACTGCGTTGCGGAACATTTCCACAGCTGTTGTTATCACTGACACTCAATGTTATAGGTCTATTATTCGAGTTATTTGAACTGTTACGGTAAAATGACCGTTTCAGTTCGACTTTAGCAGCAGTTTGTTGAGTAGAGACTTTGTGGAAACTGTCAATTTTGTCGGCTATGTGGTTCGGGATTGCAGTCTCAGATGTGCTTCTTCGTCGTTTAGCATGTTTTTCTGATTTTGTAAAGTTTGCTATCTCTGGTTGTGAAACTTCATCTTTGGAAAGGCCCTCGGGAACAGTAGTTTGAATCTCTGCACAGAAGTAATAAAAAGAAAAAAAACAATAATTTGATCTCAAAATCGAAGATTATAAATACAGAGCTGATTTATATTAACCGGACAAAACAGATCTCACTGGAAATTTAATCGCGTTTTTCTAAAGTTGATTTAAGATAAGACAAAAAGAGATGAGAACAAAATTGCTTAGTTTCACCAAATTAATATGATGCCATTCAGGGGCGGATCCAGGATTTTCAAAAAATTTTCGAAATATTTGACCTTTTTTATAGGTCTAACAAATTGATTTTCCGAGTTTTTGGGCACTTTTTGGAAAATTTTGACGAAAAAAAATGCGTTTTTTTGGCGCGCGCTCCCCTCTCAAAGTTAGTATATATAACCGCCAAAGGTCCCTTGGAAAAATTTTAGGGTCGATCGGCCAAAACTGGATTTCTTAAAAAGTACAAAAGGGGGACCTTTTGGGTCGGCAGGGGGTCGAATCTCTGAGAGCAGGGCGTCCGCGAAACCCCCCGTCCCCCCTAAATCCGCCCCTGGTGCCATTCATGTAGCAAAAATCGCAAATCATTTCTTACCCAAAAGTTGGTCGTTTTGTCTTTTTTTAGTTAATCAAGAACGGTGCTGAAACTACAAAGTTAATCGATAAGAAGGTTTTTTTTTACAAGAAGCATCTTACTCAACCCAACAAAGTTTCAGCAAACATGAAATCTCCAAACAATAACGCAAAACATTTGAAATTTATGTTTAAGCAAAGATTTTTATATGTATATAGTAAAGAGGGCTGCCAAGTAAGAATATCTTCTCTCATACAGATTTTTAGTAATAAGTAAATTTTGAAGTAAATTTTGAAAGTTCAAACGCGTTTTTCTCATATCGGGTTAAGATTAGACAAAAAGTAGAGAGAACAAAAATTGCTTAGAATTTATTCAGAATTATTATAGTGCAATTTTTTCTCCGAAATTATCAACCCAATTTTTACCCCAAAAGTTAGTCATTTTGGCTTTTTTCAATAAATCAATAATTACGCTGAAACTACTTTGTTAATTGATAAAAAATGTATATCACAAGAAGCCTCGTACCTAGCCCAACAAATTTCTAGAAAGTTAAATCTCCAAAAATCTGTATAAGAGAAAATATTTTCGCTTGTCAGTCAAGAAAGGTGATTTTTACAATATAAAATCCAAAATTTTTGCTTAAAAACAATTTTTAAATAAATTGGTCAATATTTTGGAGATTTAACTCTTCACGACTTTTGTTGGGTTGTGTAAGATGCTTCTTGTGATACATATTTCTCATCAATTAACAAAGTAGTTTCAACGAAAAAAAATACTAACAAATTCTGGTTCACTTCGTTTACTAGCAGTTGAACAGTCGGTTAAGTAGAATTTATCAGACCAGTTTTTCCATTTTGGAACCTCTTTTCCAATTATACATAACATTTGAAAACATTTTCAATATATAATCTTTTCGATTCCATTCTAAAATTGCTTGGCGGAAATTCTTCCAAGCATTAGGATTTGTTGCAGTGCATAAATAGGAATGAATAGTTTCTATTTTGAACTTTCACTAGAAGGGAAACCATTTTGTTTGATATAACAATTAAAGCAAAGTCATTTTTGTTTGTCTTTTTCAGCTCTATGATTTTTTAAGCTGAAGTTATTTTGAGTTTAGTTTTATCATAATCTGAGAATTCGTTTTCACATACATAAAAAAATACAAAATGTCAAATTTATACATATAGGTACGTTTAATTTTTACAATGCTGGTTTGAATTATCCGGATAAAACGAACAAAACTTGCATTTTCAAACATGTTTTTCTTAAACTGGGTCAAAATGAAACATAGAGTGAGAAAAAAAGCTGCTCAAATTTTCACCAGAATTTTTATGGTGCCATTGATTTTGCGAAAATCTCAACCAAAGTTTTAACCCTTAAAAATTGTTTTTTATTGTCTTTTTTTGAGTTAATCAAAAGTTATCCTGAAGCTACTGCTGCGTAATTTATTAAGAAAAGTACAGTGCTGATTTAAATTATCCGGACAAAACAAACAAAACTTGAATTCTCAAACACGATTTGCTCAAATTGGGTTAAGGTAAGACAAAAAGAGAAAAGAACAAAAATTGCTTAGAATTTCATCAGAATTTTTATGGTGCAATTTTTTCTCCAAAATTCTCAATCAAAAATATATCCAAAAATGGGTCATTTTAGTTTTTTCCATTTAATCAAAAATTACGCTGAAACTACTTTGTTAATTGATAAAAAATATATATCACGAGAAGCCTCTTACCTAGCCCAACAAAGTTCTAGAAAGTTAAATCTCCAAAAATCTGTATAAGAGAAAATATTTTCGCTTGATAGTCAAAAAAGGTGATTTTTACAATATAAAATTCAAAATTTTTGCTTAAAAACAAATTTTAAATAATTTGGTCAATATTTTGGAGATTTAACCCTTCTAGACTTTTGTTGGGTTGTGTAAGAGGCTTCTTGTGATACATATTTCTCATCAATTAACAAAGTAGTTTCAGCGTAATTTTTGATTAAATGGAAAAACTAAAATGACCCCTTTTTGGATATACTTTTGATTGATAATTTCGGAGAAAAAATTGCACCATAAAAATTCTGATGAAATTCTAAGCAATTTTTGTTCTTTTCACTTTTTGTCTTAACTTAACCCAATTTGAGCAAATCGTGTTTGAGAATTCAAGTTTTGTTTGTTTTGTCCGGATAATTTAAATCAGCACTGTACTTTTCTTAATAAATTACGCAGCAGTAGTTTCAGGATAACTTTTGATTAACTCAAAAAAAGACAATAAAAAACAATTTTTAAGGGTTAAAACTTTGGTTGAGATTTTCGCAAAATCAATGGCACCATAAAAATTCTGGTGAAAATATGAGCAGCTTTTTTTCTCACTCTATGTTTCATTTTGACCCAGTTTAAGAAAAACATGTTTGAAAATGCAAGTTTTGTTCGTTTTATCCGTATAATTCAAACCAGCATTGTAAAAATTAAACATACCTATATGTATAAATTTGACATTTTGTATTTTTTTATGTCTGTGAAAACGAATTTTCAGATTATGATAAAACAAAACTCAAAATAACTTCAGCTTAAAAAATCATAGAGCTGAAAAAGACAAACAAAAATGACTTTGCTTTAATTGTTATATCAAACAAAATGGTTTCCCTTCTAGTGAAAGTTCAAAATAGAAACTATTCATTCCTATTTATGCACTGCAACAAATCCTAATGCTTGGAAGAATTTCCGCCAAGCAATTTTAGAATGGAATCGAAAAGATTATATATTGAAAATGTTTTCAAATGCTATGTATAATTGGAAAAGAGGTTCCAAAATGGAAAAACTGTTCTGATAAATTCGACTTAACCGACTGTTTAACTGCTAATAAACGAAATGAACCAGAATTTATTAGTGTTTTTTTTTCGTTTATATTTAGATAACCTGATTAATATTTTAAAGACCATGATAAAAAACGGGTTAATCATATAAAATAAAATAAAATAAAATACTTATAAGCTCTACCATCTGTCGTTACAAGGTCAACTTGTTTTATCACAATGCACACCGTTCAGTGAGTTTGAATCTCGAAAATCAGAAGACAAGCATTTGAACAAGTCAGACTTTGAAGCGGAAACCCCTGGCAAACAATTGTAAAGTAAATTTTGCCGGAACAATTATCGTGTCTCGCGGAATCCGCAACAGGTGATTATAACAAGTTCTTACAGACTCCACATTTGTCAGCGAGTAAGTAACTTTTTAGCAAAATCCACATTTGTTAGTAGAAAATTTGTATTTCGCTTAGGAAATGGGTTTTCAGCGACAATTCAATCCACTACACGAATGTATGATAAATTGTTTATTGATTTTGCAAACTTTTCTGGATTCCACGAAATTTTGTTTTATCCATGTGCTTCGACAACAACATATTTATCAAAAATGATTTTTTACGGATTCCACTGCGCAAGTTTTCCATTCCATGTTGCCGAAACCACTTAAAATTCAAAAACTAAATGTTTCGTCTCGCAATATAAATCAATTTTAAACAAGGACGTCTCTAAATTTAACGATTAAATCTTTATAAATCTTGTCTTCATTGCTTAGTAAGAGCAAAGTTTTGCTGTCAAGGTTCAGCGCGATACTTGAATAGCACTAAAAAAAAAACGAAAAGCTTATTTTCAGACCACTCTCAATGTGTGAGAAAAACTGCTGCGATTTTTTTAGTAAAAACTAGCTGATGAAATTGAATGAGTCATCGTTCTGTGGTTTTTTTGTTATCGTTTATCACAAAATACATATTACTCCTCAGTTGATAAGTTTCAAAGCACCTCCAAGGTCGGAGTTTATCACCTAAAACTGGACAGTTTGTTTGCTTTGGCAAAATTAAAAAAAAATGATTAAAAAGGGTTGATAAGTAACGTTTCCGAGTTTTTGTAAATTTCCAGAATTTATAAGACACGAAATTCGTCTATAAATAATTTCATTTTATAAAATCTTGGAAAAAACGTATTGATCCTGCATTTTTAATGAAAAACTAGAAAAGCTATTTGTAAAAAAAATATATGAAAAATTATTCAATTGGACTTTTTCTGCATACCAATAAATTTTCTCAAGTTTCAATAAATTTGAGTCACTGAAATAATAGTTGAATTTCATTAGACTGTATGATTTCTTTAACCTTTTTAAGAAAGAACAGTAGAAGTGCTAAACAAACGGAGACAATATCCAGCCTTACGACATTTGAATCAACCAAATTTTTCTTTTGAAACAGAAAAAAAAGCTTTCTCTCGATCACAATGATTAATAAAAAAAAATTTAAAAAAGAAAAAACCATGATAAAATTGAGGTAGCAGTAGAAAAAAACAATATACAAAGTGAGTTAGATTCCAATTACAATCTCTCATTCTATCATTTGTAGATTTTGAGCCATTTAGTCTGAAAATTTTTCGAGATGATTTTTTTGAACTTCTTTCAGAATCTCTCAGAATCACAGCTGAAGGGTTTCAATATCATCTTATGTACCAAAAAGAAAACAGACCCTTTGTCAAAATTTCTTCTCAACTTAGGGGGAAATAAAAGAGGTTGTCGAAACAGGAGTGATGAGAAACAAAAGCAGGACTAGTCGGAACAATAACAAAATGAAGGTTTAAATTTTAATATTTTAGGCTATTTGAGACAAATCCCTGGCGCCATCTACAATTTTTGTTGCGCATTTTGTACACTGCTATTTAATCCGACTCTGAATCGACTCTTTGCGCAGTGACAAGTTAAAGTTTATATATATATACTTTTACTTGTCACTGCGTGTGGTGGAAGTCAAACTGCATTGAAAGTCAAACTCATTCATATATGATAAATCTACAGACGCACTAATGAACAGTCGGAACATTCAGAGCCTACCCTGATACGAGCAATCGTATAACAGATAATGGTTTTTAAAGCTTTGGTTCATCGCCACCTTTAAAGCTGTAATTGATTAGGTACTAATTTAATTGATCGTTCAAACCTTGTTCAGGTTTGTAGCTCTGTACGGCGGGCGATTTGTCTCTGCTCTTCACTGGTTGAATGGTTTGCTGTTTCTGCAATTTACTGTCGGTCGAAGTACTTGTCTGCTCTATGAGCTGCTGGAACTGTTGTGTTAGCTTCCTCACACCCACACCTGCCTTCACATCCCCCATGCCCCACAAAGAGGAGAAGCTGCCTTCCCTAATTAACTTTTCAGGAACCTCTTGAGTTTTTCGCTTAAAACTATAACTGGGAAGTAATATGGTCCAAACAAGAGAAGAATTCTAAACAAAAGTTTTTACTCAGGAAACCTGGTTTCAATATTTTGTCATTGATGATGCAACTCTAATATATAAATAAACGAAATCTGTTTAAGTTGGTTTAACTTCAACAAAGCGTAAAATAAACAGTTATGAAATAGTATGAATTTGATTTACAACATCTTTCAAAGTTGGCTGAATGTTTAGTAAGTGCGAGGCATTAGTTTCATATAAACTCGTAAACTAACCGTAACCTTTCGGCAGTAGATGAGCTATAAATGAGGAGGGAAAATAAATGAAAGCTACTTCTAATTTTCACAACAATACCCGGGTTACTTATGTACTTATGTATTAACCTTAAGATTTTTTCTAATTAGTATAAACAATTATTTCTTATTAATTAATGTCTTAGTAAAATTTCTGCTTGCGCTTTTGCGTGCCTTTAGGGTTTTTTGATGTTTGTTGAAGTTGTCTGATGTTTTGTTTGTTTTCAGGTTTCTAGAGTATGCTATTGAGTTTTCAGGGTCTCTCTTGCTTGCTCACTGGCAGCTAATACGGAAGAGAAAGTATTTCGTCTTCGGGCACTAAAAATTCTGTACCTTCCTGTTGGCTGCCTCCTTTGGTGAGCTCGCTCGAGACCATTTTTTTGGTTTCAGCCAGGTTTGTAGGCATTTGCCAATTTTAAAATTTGCCTGAGAATCCTGGGATTCCACCCCTGGCTCCTAGTAATTTTCTTTGAAAACCAGCCCGATTCTTAGGCCGATCCAGGAAAGCTAGGGTAATCCTTCCAAGACTTTGACCTGGTGTTTCCCCTGGCCAGGCCTGGCTCCATGGATGACTCCAGGGATGGACTTCCATGGACATCTAACCCGAGAATGTATAAATTTTTCGAAGAAAAGGTCTGTGAGAGAGTAGTATATAGATATGAGGTTATCTAAGCCGAACCCGTTTGTTCAGTCATCGATGCACAAACATTTTTTCTCTGTCAGTTTCAATTCATTCTAATTATTGCAATTTTTTGAGGCCATCTATAATATTTAACTTGTAACATGCGTGAGTTAGCCTTTACCAGGGTTTTGACAGACTTCAAAAACAACGCAAAAACGAGTTTTTTTTAACCAAAACTACAGTCAAGTTTCTGAAAATGTTCAGCACCATAAAAGATCCAACTTCCCGGAATGACCAAAACTTTTAAGAGCACATTTCAACACTGAGACAAAGCGAAGCTTTGCATCAATTGCGACACAACGCAAGCATAGCAGCGTATATTTACGAATTACCAAATAGAAACTGGGACGGAAATGACTATGGCTAAAACAAGTTTTGAAAAAAAATTCAGCCGAAAAACACAACGACCAGCATTAAACAAGCGTTCATGTTTTACGGTGGTTACTATGCCGACTATACCTGAGTAGATGCCCATTGAAGCACTAAAAGAAAAGCCATTAGAAGTTATTCTTCTGAAATGTTCAGCGGCTATGTTTCAAAACTTTGAAGTTTTACTCCACAACCAGTCTGAACTACGTATTAAATTGATATTCATATTCACCTTTGAAACGACACGAAGTGATGTGATTCAGCCGATAAAACATAAGCCGAAACTAATCAGGCCAAATATTTCTTAGCGAAAAGACATCAAAAAGGGAAGCATACTAAATCAGTGTTAGTAAAATTACAAAATACAGGACTTAGTCACATTGAAAACTTCCTATAGCACAAAAAAACTCAAAATCAGAGATGAGGCAAATGAGCCAACAAACCGTAAGCAGACAAACAAAAAAATGTTTCAGTTTCATTCATTCTCAAAAAAACAAGGCCCAGTCGGGACACAAACCTCAGACTTCAAGGAGCAAAGACAACCGATTTCGCTTTAGAGCAAGGGCGAAGGAATCTGTAGTTTGTTAAAGATCAATAAGAAAGCAAGTTAAAATTTTTAAAGATTTCTATAAAAAATGTTTACCGAAAAAAACCTAGTTTCCGATTAGCAAGTGTATAAAAGAAAGAGTTGTACAATTTTATAAAATTTCAAACCAAAACAAAAACCAAACAAATATTTTTTTGTGCGTAGTTTTGTTTTTTATAGTTTCGCTTTTCATTTTTTTGTTTTGTCTGAAACTATTTTGTTATGTTTTTTTCTTAAAAAACCTGCAGGTTAGGTGGCAATTATCTCACTGCAATTGGAGAGTTTGTATCTTGATATTGCTTTAATGTTCATACAGAGCAATAAGTAAACTGAAAATTTCTACAAATAACAAAAAGTTTTAGAAAAAAACGGCCGGGCTGAAATTTTGATAGAGTTTATCTTACCGCATGAAACCAAAAAAATAAAGATACCTTTGGCTATACACAAAACATTCGTATGAATATTGGTTCATCTAACAAAAAAGTTTTTATGGACTACATTAGAGACAAAATTGTACAATTTTCATGCTAGATTGATTTCATTAAAAGGTTGTCTGAGCATTGAAGTAGTTTTCCAAGAAAAGGAAATGTGATTTTTAAAACTTATTTCGAAGCTTTACTTCGAAAATTTTTTTTTATTCATGTATAAAATTGCTTATCACAGAGCCTTCATACATTGAAAACGTAAGATAAACTTTTTTTCACAAACTCTATAAGTGGAAATGATCTTTGAGCAAACTTATTGAATAGAACTGCTTGATAACGTTTTTCTTGATAACGGAGATCAACCCGCTTAATCAATTTTAGACCTGAAGATAATTTGAACTCTAAAAACTCTTGAGCCAAAAACTCTAAACAATGGTTTTCATTAAAAAAACACTGGGTCTAAAATTGATCACAGAGCTAAAGCGAAAGAAAGGCCAACAAAACGACGTAATTAAAAATGTTCGATTGGAAAAAACAATTCACAGAAAAAACAATAAAACAGAACCGGTTACCATGTAGCCAAAAAGCGTATCCAGAAGCAGGGGCGGAAGTAGGATTTTCTCGAGGGGTGGCGGTATTCAAAATTTTTTAAAACGTTTTGTCGACCTTTTTTAAATCGACCAAATTGATTTTGCGAGCCCTCCCAAAGCACTTGAAAGATCTTTGACATTTCTGCGACACGGTAAAAGAAAATTTCACAAAGTTTGCTCCGTGTTATCATTGGCATTCTCAAAAACGTTTTGTTTCCCGTTCGACTTGACTCAGGGCCCTTGTCGATTGTCCAAAAACCCAAAATTAATTATCGGCAATTCGTTGAATTTATTGGCAAGTATTGAAAATCTTATTCAGCAAAATTAGATCGTTTTTGAATTAATTCAGTGAAATCGGCAACAGTTTGCTTTTATTCAAGTACAAAACATAATTCTCATGCTTAATTTCATGTTTTTTGTAACACCATTTAACCATAATCATTGAAAATTTTCTTTTCGTTTACATTGGTTTTTAGTTGCAAACCAAACTGGAGATGCATAAAAAAGTATTAATAGCCAACTTTCAAAAAATTAAATGCAAACAGAGCTACTCAGTGAGTTTGGTGAAGATCTTCTGATGCAATTAATTTGCATGTTTGCTTTTTTGAGCCTTTCGGTGATGTGATATACCCATGACTTTTCGAAATTGCACCAAACATCAAGGTCTTTCACCGTGTCTTTCAAAACTATTTGTTCTCCAGTAATAGATAAAAGATCGCTTGAAGGGTAACGCTTGTTTGATTATTGAAATCTTATTTGTTCAAATTGCTCAAAATTGAAGTCAATTCTGTTTTCTGCTGCCCAGGTGATAAAGTGTTTATATCTGTTTGAATCGAAGAAAAGTCAAACTAATTTCCAATAATTTTTGTATCGTCAGTATATAAAAAAGACGGGTTGTCAATAACTTCTGGCATATCGTTTTTATACAAAGAAAACAAGAAAACTGCAAAATTTGATCCCTGTGGACCACCACTCGTTATATTGCGTGAATGACACAATGTATTACGAAGAAAAATTATTTGTTTTCTGTTTGTGAGATAGGATGCAAAAAATTGAAAAAACTCATGGTCAAAGCCTATTTTGGCAAGCTTGTATAAAATGATGTTATGGCTAATAGAGTCGAAAGTTTTTGCAAAATCCAGCAACATTGTGAGAGGTAATTCTCCTTGTTCTAATTACTTGTATACAACATCACAGTACAATATAAGGTTGTCACAGTCGAATGATGTTTTCTAAAACCATGTAGGTTTAAACACAACTTTCTTTGAATGAACCTTTTTTTATCTTGTAATATACAACTCGTTCGAATATTAAGGCGAGTGCAGGAGGTATTGAAATAGGTCTATAAATTTCAATGTTTATGCGAGAAGCTTTTTTGTGCAAAGGATTAATGTGTGCTAATTTCCAGATATCTGGAAACTGTTTATTACTGACTATGCAATTCAACAGTTCAAGAATATCATTTAAAAAAACTGTAAAACGAAAACTAATATGTTAGGAGATATACCATCAACTGAATTTGTTCTTGACTGACTTGCATTTACTCAATTCGTTAAGAATTTTGCATTGCGAAACGAAAATATCTGATAAGTATGTTCCTTGAAAAATACTTTCGCTTGGAACATTCAATGGTTCGTTTTCTAATTTGAAAACAGATGCGAAAAACTTGTTAAAAGCCTAACAGATTGCAAAATCAGAGCATTAACTGGTATTTTTGTATGACGTTTTTCTGGGCACTTTTGCCTTTCCGTTTATCGATCTGAGAAATGTGTAAGTCATTTTTAAATCGAAGTCTTTCATTGACTCAAAGTAAACAGCTTTGTCTAGTTCTAAAGAATCATTCAAATTGTGCTTGCAGCGTTTAACTTTCTCATCAGAACAATTATGTTTCAATGCCGTCTGAAGGCATTTTTCAGCTTTTATTGAGTGTGAAGACATCCAATGGCGGTCTTTAGAGCGACAAATTGTCTTTTTTGGAATATATTTATCAACGGCTTGATAATACAACCCATAGAACATTTCAAGCATTCTGTTTGCATCATTCGAGCAATGGAGTCTGTTGTTTAAGAAAAACAAACGCAATGATTCGGAGTCTGCTTTGCGAATACAGTACCGATTTAGATTTATCTTTTCCGCTTCAATTTCAAATTTATTTGACAGGAAAGTGCAGGATGATCTGAGAAGCTTTGGTTTATTTCGAATAGTACATAAAA